AGGTAGCAAAATATGTTGCAACAGTCATATCCCCTTGCCTCAAGGCAGCAATGTCTTGATTCAATCTATAAATTCTGGCATTATTTTTTCTCTGCCCAGAAGTTTTAGACACTTTCTCCCATATCTTGGCAGCAGTGGAGAAATGTTGAACAGTCCTAGCTACCCTTGGAGTCATTGAAGCAAGTAGCCAGGACATAAAGCATTCTCCTTACGCCAAACTGCATAATCAACACCCCGGGATGTGATGAAGAGCATGGCTGAAACAGACCATTCTCTGAAGTTATACTCATCCAACAACACATTAGTAATCTGCAGGCTGTGCAGATTTGGATTCTCCAGATTAGGGGACCTCCCACTAGTCCTAACATCTCTAGAAGACACTTCCCCGGATATAGAAGACATCTTCTCCTACTTGCAAAGATCAAACTGTAAACACAATATACAGAGAACTGTTTCAGACTTACGGAACTTGCTGCACTGCAAACTCTGCCCTGAGAACCCGTAACAGAGCTGAAACCACGAGCACCACACTGCTGCACTATGCTCTAATTACTGCTGTCGCAGACTGTAATCAGTCCAGACTTCTGCTGTGCTCTAATCACTGTTGTCGCAGCCTATAATCTCTGCCACGACCAGTTCTAGGACTGCCGAGATCAGTCCTCCCACCTAGATCTGTTCCACACAGATCTCTCTTAGCCGAATGGCTACAATCTGCTGTACTGAGTCTATTAGGGCATCAGCTTYTGGGACTAACTCCCCTTGGGCCCTACAACCAAGGGAAACCCTAGATGTAGGTCCTGCTGTGTTCTACGACCAACCCTAGGGTTTCTTTGCAACAACCAAGAAAGAAAAGAGGAAGAAAGAGAGTTGGATACGAGTAGAAGATGAAGCGGCGGCTGTAACCAGGTGAAAGATTAGAGCTCTGATACCATGTTTGCTGGAATGAAGCTGCCAAAGGAGAAGAGAAGAAGAAGAAGAAGAAGAAGAAGGAGAGTTGAGAATGGCGGCAACAATCTCTCAGTCGGCCCTACTCTATTATTAATAAGTGTATTACATAATGTTACACAAATAGACTAGAATGCCCCTGATTAGTGATGGAACACCTAGACAAATAAAAAACACTAAATAAGATTAGGCCCAATAACAAAAGACTAAAGACCCAACAGAGATAAATAAACATATTAAGACAGCCGAACCAACATAACTCTCTAGGAATCCAGAACAGATAGGAATCCAAAGAGTCCTGAAGATTCCGAGCCTCGTCCAAATAATGAGCTAGCCTCCATGGCCCTCCATTCTTCTCCCTGAGCCATCCAATGGTGTTGTTCGAATCTCCTTTGATGACAAGAGAAGACAAGCCAAGGTCTCTTGCAATCCGGAGTCCAGTTAGCACTGCTAACACTTCAGCCTTTGTAGAGTCTTCCATCCCGATTGCACCACTGTTAGCATGCAGTAAATTCCCATCCCTTCCCTTAAACACACCCCCATCCCTGCAAAACCAGGGCTCCCAAGGGCACTTCGATCAAAGTTCAGGGTCACCTCCTCTTCTAATCTTGGCTGAGGGATGCTTGTTGCTTTTAGAGAAGCTGGAGAAGAAAGCAAGATCTCCACCATGCTTCTTTGAAGATCATTCGAAGAAGCACCTTTGAACTCCTCTGAGTTCAGCGCCCAAATGTTGCACAAGTGGAATATGTAAGATAACAGTTCACCCATAGTTCTAGCTTTATTGTTGAAGATTCGGTTGTTTCTCTCCTCCCACACCCCCCACATAACTGCTTGAACCACAATACACCAATAAACTTTTCCCCTTTTTCCAAGGCATCTTCTTTCCATTGCCAAAGAAGGTCTTCAAGGTGTTCAGGAAAGACCCAACTGTACCCTACTAGGGAGGTCATGTTTGGGAGTGCTTATTGAATAAGTGCTTAAAAACACATGCTTATTCAAATAAGCACTTATTTGCATTTGGCACCCAACTTTTTCAAGTGATTATTTTAAAAAATAAGCACTGATTTCATATTGGGCGTTTAGTAGTTTTTTCTCCAATAAGCAATTAAATAAGCATTTGTGACAATTTTATCCCTCATTTTCTTTCAAATTTTCAAAATATACCCTTATGAAAGTACTTTTATTAAATCACTTTTATGAAAGTACTTTTATGAAGGCACTTTTATGAAAGCACTTATGAAAGCACTTTTATGAAAATTACTTTTATGAAAGCACTTTTACGAAAGTACTTTTATGAAGGCACTTTTACGAAAGTACTTTTATGAAGGCACTTTTACGAAAGTACTTTTATGAAAGCACTTTAACAAAAGCACTTTTACGCAAGTACTCTTATGAAAGTACTCTTATGAAAGCACTTTTATGAAAGTACTTTTATAAAATTCAACTAGGGATAATTTTACAAGTGGTATTTTAAAATTCAACTAGAGATAATTTTGGAAGAAAAAAAAAATTGAATAAGATAAGCACTTCAAAAAAGCTGGAAATTTGGGTTTAAAAAATAAGCCCTTATTTTTAAAATAAGCACTTATTCCAGGCTTATTTCCCACACACCAATAAGTGCTTAATGGTGTGGTCCCGGCCAAAATAAGCACTTATTTTTAAGCACTCCCAAACATGGCCTAGGTTTAGGAAGAAGCACCAAACTTTCCTTGTTTCTTAGCCTTCGGGATACTTGAATACAGGTTACAACAGAGCAGGTGACTCACTAAGAGCTGAGATAATGGCTACACTGGAGGGAGCACAAAGAGCAAGGGATATGAACATCAACAAATTGCTGATTGAAGGGGACTCACAATTTGTAATAGGGTGGCTGCAGAACAGAGAAGGGGACTTCTGGATTATAGGAATGAAATGAAAACATTCCAGTGGCTAACTAGGGGCATGGAAGTAAAACTTCATTGGGTGCAAAGGGAAGTAAATTGTATGGCTGATGCTTTAGCCACAAGGGGTGGCGAGAGAACAAATGTTTTGGGCATAGTTGGAGAGAGGTATTGGACTGCAATCAAAGGTGACATAATGCAAAAAAAAAAAAAAAAAAAAAACAAAAAAAAAAAGGTGACATAATGAAAGTAATGAAGGAATTCTACTCAAATGGTGGCATGGAAAGGAGTTTGAATGCTACATCCCATTTGGTAAATTGGGACCTGCCCACCTTCAGCAAGTGGAGGTTTAGGTGTAAGGAAGATCAAAAAGTTCAACATAGCTTTGTTATAGAGATGGTTCTGGAGTTTCAATTCAAAACCTAATTGGTTATAGAGAAAACTAATTTCTGAAAAGTATGGTTTTCAGGAAAATGGCTGGTATTCGAACACCCCCTCGCAACCTTATGGATGCAGTGTTTAGAGAGGGATTTATAAAGCATATCCTTATTTTAGGAAAGGTATCAAATACAATTTAGGAAATGGAAACAAACTGAAGTTTTGGATGGATCCCTGGTCCGGAGAGAGAAGAGTGAATCACCCACTCCAGGAGGCTCAAAAAGGTCCAGAAAACTAACCGCCCCCTACAGAAAAATAAAAGAAGTCCAACGATACCTGTGCGCCCAAGATCAGATCAAAAACAAAGAGTCCAGTTTTCTAGGACTCTTCCCTGTACTCCAGTTCTTCCTGATTTTGATGCCAAAACAAAGATCACCTTCCTGATGACTAGATCTCACCAAAATATCCAAGAACTGGGCAGTCTATAGCAGATCGATCAGCCCTTTGTTACTTCATGCAGTCGGCCGATCTATGGCTGCATGAGAATGCTTCAAGAACCCTAGCCGATTGCTCTGATACCAAGTAGAAATCTGCTGAAATAAAAAATATGAAAGAAAGGAATGTTTTCTTGAAGAGAGAAGAGAGAAGAGAGAAGGAGAAGAAGAGATTTTTAGAAGAAAAGAGAGCAATAATCTGGCCGCCCCCTTCAGTTATTATTTATATTAAAAATATAAGAGGTGTACAATTCCTACTATGCCCTTATAGGGCGGCAAAATATAAAACAGTATATAAAGGACTCAAAACACTAATAAAATTTGGACTCACATAACAGCTGTGGTCTCCACTTCTTATCTAACAACTAACATAACACAACTACTCTAAAAACAAACAAAACTAACTAATCTTCAACAAAAGACCTTATAACTTTCTGGTTTTTGTAACAATCTCTGCTCGGTGACCCTTTTTTAAGTTCCCCAATGCACCATCTCTTGTTTTACATTGGTGTTTTCTCTTTAGGCTCTATTTGTTTGCAGTGCAAATCCGAACTGAATACAAATTTTGCACCCAGTTTAGTTATGCATCCATTTGTTTATAATCATGGATTGCACTCTTGCATGATACAAAATTTGTAATTTTTTTTGTCTCATTTGCACTCATTGACAGTGTAAGTTTTGCATCCATAAAACTGATATGCAAAATTTGCACCACCTTCCTCATACCTCAATTTTATCTCATATAAAGTGGGGACCACATTATCTTGCTTCCTACCACACTCCCAAACAGACAACCCACCTCCTATCTCCATTCTCTTTCAACTAAAGTGAGGACCACTTCATATTACTTTCTATTTTATTTCTCATGAATAAATAAGTCAAATCTGAAGCAAAAAATAAATCGGAATTTACACTCAGCCTATTTGCACTCCCATGCTTTTACCCCAGTGCAAATGAAATTCACATTGCAAACAAACTGAGCCTTAATCTTAGATGTATAGCCATTCCTCCTCCATGGCCAGGTTTGGTTATGGAGGACAAAATCCATTTCATAGCGCTCTTATGATAAGACAAATATATGCATCATTTCCAATAAATTAGGTCTCCTGGTTTGTAGCGTGTAACATTTCTCTATTTTCCAAGATATGGACATAGAAGATAATAGTAAATGGTGTCTTAAGAGAGCATCTCAAGCACAGAAGTGGAATCATTATTTTACATAAATAAATAAATAAATAAAAACCTTTTATCTCAGACATATGTTAAGAATGTAATCATGTATGTGAAAGAATTAGAAACTCACTGGGAAACAGCGCATCATATATAAAAGGGGATTTGAGGATAAGTCTAGCCCATCGACATGGTGCTGACTAAATACAGCAATACGGACCTGTAAAATCCAATATATCAGTTCCAGTAGATCGGGGTTGGAATAGAATTACTAAATTCCCCCCAGCACTAGTAAAGATAGAACTAAACTTGACAAATCTATTGCATTTTTAATATGGAAATAAAGAGACAAGAGCATCACTTTAACAAAGTTGAGAAATAACTGATTCAAATAAAGACCTCTATTAGACAAGATTAAAATCTTCTTTTACCTCACTTGGTTACAATCAATATACATCTCTGATCTCCTGTGCTAAATTTTGTGATTTTGTGTTATTTTCTAGTTTGTATTTTTCTTTTTTTTTTTTTGATAATCTTGTTTGTGATTGTTGTAGGAATTTATCAATTAATCTAGAGCCAATGTAGTTCAAATGGTCTTAGTAAAGAGCTCCCTTTATAATTTAAAGAAGTTGAGGTTGTAGATTTGTTACTTTTCTTGTAGCCTATGCTTGGTAGGTCAAGTTATTCTGGCCAATATTGTCATGTGGTGAAGCAATGAGTAGTCATTTTGGCCTCCCTAGGCAATGCTGTTAGTCTTGACTAGTTTCACAAACTGTTGCAGCCCACATAAATGTCTTTCTCACTTGTGGCAGCATGAAAACCAAGAGCCACAACATCAACATACTATTCTCTTGATCCCAACTGTCATCAACATACTACATTACTAGCAGTAATGTAGAGTTTAAATCCCCTACACAATTCAAGGTAATTCAGTCCATCAAAGGGAATTACAGTCAAAGGAAACTCATATCTAACCCCCCCCCCCCACTCATTCCGTTTTGACCTAACAGAAACCCCAGAAGTTGCAGAATTTTCAGGACATGATTCAGCTCACTATTCAGCTTTAAACACACACCCTAGGATCCCTCCTGACACAAAACAGTCCTAGAAACACACTAGAACTGCAGCCCACATGCACACACTACAGCCTGGACACAATCTGAACACAGACCAGCTCCAATATTCCTCAAAAAAAAATCCAGGTTGATTTCAGTGCTGAATAGACTTAACAGTCACAGTCCACCACACTTTTAGACCATATAATCGCACCAACTACCAGGAGAGACCACAAACAGTGTTGTCACACCAAAAAAAGGCAAAGACAGGTCGTCCCAATGATTTAAAAGGCACGCCTAGGCAGTGTTTTAAAAGTGCAAGGGCCAATTTGCGCCTGAGGTGCAAGGCAAGGCGTGTGCCTTTTTAAGAAAGGTGCAAAATTACAAAAATAAATAAATAAAAAAAAGGTCAGAAATTTCCAAAAATGCCAAAAAAATTTAAATAATGCAAAAAATTTTAAAAATATTAAACATAATGTTAATAAAAATATAAACTTAAATTTTAAAATAAATGATTTAAAAACCCTATTATCTAAAATTAAAATACATAAACATAACATGTAAAGTGTATTCAAATGAAAATTTAAAAATAAAAGCAAACATATAAAGCATTTTCAAGCATGTAAAACCCACAATCTCTTTTTTCCCTTAATTGCATTGCTTCAAGTAGTTAATGTGATGTAAAACATATTGCATTCTTGATTCTATGAGTCGCCTTTGTAGCACACCCCTCGAGGCAAGCCCAAACAAGTCTATGTTAGGGTTTGAAATTCTTATTTGCTGATGTTGTTCATTCATTCATTGCAATAAAATATCTTCTTAAAAGGCAATGAAAGTTGTAAAATCATTATATTTTATGTGAGAAATAAGAATTTCAGACCCGAACATAGACTTGTTCGGGCTTGCCTCAAGAGGCATGGCCGGGGGTCCTAGAGCCCCCGGCCCAGCCATTAGACTCAAAAAAAAAAGCAAAAAGCGCAAAATTTTAAAAAGGCGCACGCCTGGGCTAAGGCAAGGCACATCAGGTGCACACCTAGGCGCACTAGGCGTGCGCCTAGGACCTGGGTGAGGCGCATACCCCAAAATGCGCCTCGCCTATGCGCCTAGGTGCACCTTTTAAATCACTGTGCCTAGGCACACAAGCAAGGCGCATACCCAGGTCCTAGGCACACACCTGTCAAAAGGCGCACGCCTGGTGCGCCTAGGCTTGTCCCTTAGCCCAGGCGTGCACCTTTTTAAAGTTTTGCGCCTTTTTGCTTTTTTTTTAGTCTAACGGCTGAGCCAGGGGCTCCAAGAACCCCCTATTTGCTAATGTCGGTACAAAGGCAACTCATAGAATCAAGAATGCAATATGTTTTACATCACATTAGCTACTTGAAGCAATGCAATTAAGGAGAAAAAGAGATTATGGGCTTTACATATTTGAAAATGCTTTATATGTTTGCTTTTATTTTTAAATTTTCATTTGAATACGCTTTACAAGTTATGTTTATGTATTTTAATTTTGGATAATAGGTTTTTTAAAACATTTATTTTAAATTTTAAGTTTATTTTCTTTTATTAACATTATGTTTAATATTTTTTTATTTTTTTTTTATTTTCTGACTTTTTTATTTTTTAGCTTTTTTTTGTAATTTTGCGCCTTGATTAAAAAGGTGTGTGCCTCGCCTTGCGCCTCAGGCACAAATTGGCCCTTGCGCTTTTTTTGCGCCTTGCACTTTTAAAACACTGGGTCATCTGTGACCTACAAAAGTTCCATTCTCACTTTCTCAGGTACAAGGATCACACAATCCATAGAAAAATAGTATGAACTCACAACACTTTCTCACAGCATTCAGCCACCTAAATTCATAGGTTTTTTTTTCTTGATATACACCCAAGAGGGAAGAAAAAAATAAAAAACTGCTGTATCAGTCTATTCTTCTAATCTCAGACTGGAGAAGACAGCAAGATGAAGGTGAAAGAAAACTTGTTTGATCTGTACTCAAGCCCAGTAGAACTGCTCCGATACCATATTAACAGAAAAAGTAGAAGAAATATGGAAGAAAAAGAAAAGAGAGAGAGAAGGGAGAAGGGAAGAGAAAAAAATTGAGAGAATGAAATCTGTTCTGGCAGCGCCAGATTTTTTATTATATATAGGGTAACACTTAAAGACAAAAAGACTCCTATGCCCTTGCGGCACTTACAGAACATAAAATACTATAAAATACTAGTTATTCTAACAAGGAACAAAGGCACGATAGCATGGATAAAAAATTAATCTATTTTGAGAAGGTTTCATGGAGGCAAAAAGCTAGGGTGTTGTGGCTCAAAGAGGGTGATAGGAACACTACATTTTTTCAAGCCATGGTGAGGGGAAGAAAAAGGAACACAATTTTGAGGTTGGAGGAGCGAGAAAGAATTATTGCTGACCAGCAAGCCATTGTTGAGGAGATCCGCAATTTTTGAATAAATTTGTAGAAAGCTATACCTAATAGGAAATGTCATTTGGGGGAGCCGGAATTTGCTCATTTGGAGAGTGGGATGGAGTGGCTGGAGAGAGAATTTTAGGAGGAAGAAGTATGAAATGCTGTCAGAAAGATAAAGGGGGATAAGGCCCCAGGGCCAGATGGTTTTAACATTGGTTTCTACAAAATGAGCTGGAACATTATCAAGGATGGATATGTTGAAGAAATTATGGGGGGAGAAAAAACTGAATAAGGTTGCCAATGCAACCTTCATTTCTCTCATCCCAAAAGTAGATGGAGCTGTTAGAGTTAAGGATTTCAGGCCGATTAGCCTAGTTTCTAGTGACCTATAGGTGTTATCTGGGAGACTGAAGATGGTGTTGCATTTGGTGGTGGGTTTGACTCAAATGGCATTTGTCCAAAGGAGGCAAATTCTTGATGGGGTTTTGATTGCAAGTGGAGAAGCGGGGATGATCCGAAAATTTGACTTAGAGAAGGCATATGATCATGTTGAATGAGGTTTTTTAGAAGAAGTGATGCAGAGGATGGGTTTTGGGAAAAGATGGAGAAGTTGGACTTTTGCATGTATCTCTTCGGTCTCTTTTTCAATGTTAATGAATGGGGTTTCTACTGAATTCTTCAATGCCACGAGGGGATTGACACAAGGAGATCCTCTCTCCCCAATGCTCATTGTTCTTGTTGTGGAGGTATCAAGTAAGTTGATTGAGAAAAGAAGAAAGGTGGAGTTGGTTGCTGGTTTCAAAGTTCAGAGAGATAGAATGGTCATTTTCATCTCCAATATGCTAATGATACGATTTTCTTGGATACTTCTGTGGTGCAGGTTTATAATTTAAGCAGTATTCTTAAATGCTTTCAATTGCTGTCAGGCCTGAAGATTAATCTTGGTAAAAGTATTGTGATTGGGGTGGGAGAAATTCAGCAAGATGTTTTGGAGGAATGTGTTAAGAGCTTTGGGGTGTTTGATAGGGGAATTTCCTTTTTCTTATTTGAGTCTCCCAACTGGGGCTAGGGCGGTTGCTTCTTCCACTTGGCAACTTGTCCTAGATAGAATTGATCAAAGGTTGGCAGGGTAAAGGAGGGAATTTCTGTTTTTTTTTTTTTTTTTGGGGGGGGGGATATTCTTCAGTGGTGGGAGAGATTGAGAGAATGCAATTTTCACTGGAATGTCAGGGTGAAAAAAAAGAAGTTTAATTTGGTTAAGTGGGACTTGGTGTGTAGACCTAAAAAAGATGGGGGTTTGGGAGTGGGAAGAGTGGGTGTATTTAAAAAAGCTTTGTTGGGAAAGTGGGTTTGGAGATTTGGGAGGGAGAGGGAAGCCATTTGGAGAAGAGTGGTGGCCTGTAAGTATGGGGTGGTGAACTTTGGGTGGGATGTGAGGGAGGTGAGGTCATCTTATGGGGTAAGTATTTGGAAGGGGATCATGAAGTTCAACTCACTGCTGCTTCTTTTTTTTCTCTTGGAAGGTGGGGAGCGGATATAGAATAAGGTTTGAGGATGATTGGACTGGAATTGGAAAGTTGTGTGAAATTTGTCCAAGATTGTATAATTTGAGTGAGAAGGGTGTGCCTATTTCTCATTGCTATGAGGTGAGTAATGGTTCTGTAGTCTGGTGCCCTAAATTTAGAAGACCTTTATTTGATTGGGAGTTGGAGTGTGTGGAGCTGCTGGCTAAGTTTCAAGAGGTGGAAAATTGACCCCTCATCATCAGATGTCAAATGGTGGAAAGAGTGTAAAGATGGGAGATTCATGGTCAAATCCATGTATAATGCTTTGATCAGGAACCAGGTAGAGGCTGATTCAATTAGAGGCATTTGGGGGAAACCAGTTCCCTCAAGAGTGGAACCTTTTGCATGGTTGATTTCAATGGGCTGCATTCTTACACAGGATATGTTGAAGAAAAGAGGCTATCAGTTTCCAAACAGATGTGTGTTATGCTGTTTTGCTGAAGAGGAGAATATTATGCACTTGATGGTACAATGCAATTTTGTGAAAGGGGTCTGGTCCTTCTTCTTCAAGCTCTTTAAGGTGGCTGGTTGGGCACCAGTGGACTCTGCTGGAATTTGGTGACTGGCCAAGAGTTCTAGTTAGTTGTAAAGAAATAATTATGTGGAGCTGTATTCCTTTTGCTGTCTGCTGGGAAGTTTGGAAGGAGAGAAACAAGACGATCTTTGAAGGGAAAATGAAAAGCTTGGAAGAAGTTGGGGCAGGACTCTGTTCTTTAGTTGTTGGTTGGGTGTTGGTGCTTCCAGAATTTGAAGGACTAAAGAAAGAAAACTTTGGTTCTGACTTTTGGCATACTTTGAGTGGCTAAGATTTTGGCTAGGTTTATGTACTCTGTTTTTAGTTTTGTGAGACTCGTATATTCTGCTTCTTGTTGTTTTTGTTGGGGTGACCCCTTGTGACCTGTGTTAGTTGTATCCTTTTATTCACAAGTAATAAAATTTTCTTCTTTCTTAATTTATCTTCAAGAAAACCCTAATTCTCTCATCCCCTAACCCTTAAGCTTCTTAGTTCAAGCATCCCTATGCTAGAACAGCAAGCTAAATACATTTCCAATCATTCCTTAAAATTAGTAAATTCAACCCTAAAACTTTAGCTTACCCTAATTCTAGGATCCATCTGCTAACCTATTGGCTATCAAGAGAGAACAAAAGATACCTTAGCTGAACGGTAAACTGTTCCAGAACTTGGCTGAAGCTCTCCTGCTATTAATTTGAGTATGGTTGATTTGCCAATGCCATTTGGACCAACCACTATGAAAAAATTGATTAGCCAATGTCAGAATGTAGAGAAAAATGGAGAAGTAAAAGGAAGTACTAGTTTCCAAAAAAAAAAAGAGAAAAAGGAAAAATTAAATGAAAAACACCAACAAGACAAATCAAAGAAATGCAAAAAAAGATAATAACTAAAACTTATTTGCTGGATTAATAAAATCTTACTTATTTATCAAAACGAAAAAGATAATAACTAGAACTTAAATAACCAGTGGAAGGGGCAAATGCATTAATCTATTTTTTTAGTTATGTTAATTAGGATAGGCTTGTCTTTCTCAGCCTCAGCCAGAGAAATGAATTATCAAAACAAAAGACCAAGTTACATGACAAGGGTTTTTATTAGCAAAAGATGAGACATGTGCATGATTCTACAAAAATACTAAAATACATGATACCACATAATATTAGCTTACATGCAAAAGCTATAAACAGTATTATAAATTGAAAATAGACAAAAATACATAACTTATAATTAGAAACAGATCAGGCACTAGAAAAGGGAAATCTATGTTGTGTGCTAACGAGCATGTAGTTGAGTGTTTTCCACCCAAAGTAACATCATCCAAAAACAGAGAACGAAAATAATTCATCTGTCCTTACTTGCTATGCGGCTGTCAAGATCTATACCAAAATTCAAATTCTTGAACAATATTGGACCCCCGGGATAACCAAATGACGCATCACTGCAATCAAATGTAATGTCAAGAATATTTCAAAGGAAACTAAACCAAGCATAATTCAAAATCCAATGGCAATAAATATTAAAAACACTCCAGTTCCAGTGGGCACTCAAACTGAACATGAATCAGAGTTTATGGTAACAATGGAAGGAAATTGATTGACATAGTCACTTGGGATAAAGTTGATAAAATTAACTACTCCTTTGTAAATATCACAAAAGCTCTGTTAGATGCACTGCCAAACAGACCTGAAACTAATTATGGGAGGCCCTGGCCTGTCATCAGGTGTTGGGAACTCGAATTTATAACTGTAAAGGAAGAAAACATGGAGAACTTAATTAAAGGTGAAAATTGAAACAAAAAGCAGGTGATTTTGCATAATGTATTAAAGTATAGACTATAGAGGAAGTCGGGGATATCATCAAAGGGAAACCAATCAATAGAAAGGCTGCATACTCAGGGTCATTGACGACTTCATCCACGTGACCCATTCGCTCCAATGCCTGCTCAGTTTCAAAAGGTAAGTAGTAATAAAATTATTTCCTGCATCATGACCCTTGATGCAGAATAGAAAAATGCCCATGACTGGAAAGGCTTTATGGATCAAAAAATAAAACTAAATACACAATTAAATGCAATGTAAACGGCTTCAGGCTCAAATATGAGATTATAAAGATCAATCTGAATCAAGTCAATGAAAAGAACGAGAAATTGAAGCCTAAATTGCACCAAATCAACTTAGCAAAGATTTCAAATGTTCTCTCTAAGCACCTTAATTCTCGATTGAACAAGAGATGCCCGTTTTGCATTGTAACGGAACTTATCAATAAAAGCCTGCATCACAAAGAGAAATATCCATGTATCAAACAACTAAGTGGAACCAGAACATCCAAGTTTAAAAATATACCACCTTTAGTATCTATCCACCTACTTAATTACTTATGTATCACAAGTAATGTTGCTACTTGCTAGCAAAGACATCCTATTAAACAAAACGATCCATTGCACTAGCCATCTAAAATATTTCATGGTTGTTTGTTCAACAAACATAGTATAAAACTGAAAAATAGGCGTGCTGTACAACAGGAGGCATGGACAGTACATTGTTAAGACTTAAAACTGCTTAGCCATTTACTACCTCTACAACAGTACAACAGCCAGATTTTGTTTTTTTATGATAATTCAACAGCCAGATTTTGTTGAGATTAAACAATTCTTATTAACTATTTTTTTCTTCAGAAAGATGGTCATAAAGTTTTGGTTGTGAAAAGCATAGGATCTTGTCTCTGAAGTATTGGAGGGTTGGGCATCTGAGATCTAGATCTAGTAACCTAAAGGTCCAAAACCATGGTTCTCCACATCCTAGAAATACCTATATCACAACTGACCTAAAAGTTTTTATCAATCTCAATGACACAAAATAATGGGAGCAAAATAACTGTTCACTTGGTCCTCGCACAAAAAAAAAAAGAAGAAGAAATGCTGCAGCATTGTTCTAGTACAAATCTCCACAGAAGAAAACCTGCATATGAGCTTTTGTCCGTTCACTTGACTCAAAGGCTTTCTGTTGATTCTTAAGTTGTTCCTCCTTTGTCCTTTCAAATGTATCATAGTCCCCTTTGTAAGTAGTCAACTTTTGTCCATGTAAATGGATAATATCCATAACAACCTAGGGAAATGTCAGAATAGAAGCCATCCTATAAAACATTAAAACAGAAGAAGAAAAAAGAAATAGCATAAAAAATGAACCACCAATCCTCCATTCTCACTCAAAAAAGTTCAAATGTAAGAAAAGTAATACCGTGTTCAAGAATTCTCTAGCATGAGAAACAACTATAAATGTCTTTGGCCATTTCACAAGATATGATTCCAACCATAGAACAGCATGAAGATCCAGATGATTCTGCAAAAAAAGAAATGCAAGTTTTACATAATTCTTTTAAACCAAGGTTAGAAGACATTTCATGAATACAATGAAAGTGCTAGAGTATTTTTTTACTGTGGGTTCATCAAGTAGCAACAAATCAGGCTCTATAAATAATGCACGTGCAAGAGCTATTCGCATTCTCCATCCTCCAGAAAAAGTTTTTGTTGCCTTCTTCTGCATTTCTGGAGTAAAACTAAGACCCTGAAGAAGAAAAAAAGAGGCAGCAGAATATTGATCACATGTAAGAGTAATTTCCATTAAAATGCAGTAATTGAATTGAGAACAAGAAGATTGTAAGCAAGCATGCTGGATTTCTCTTTGAGCCTATATTTTTTTGATTTTTTGGAGATCAAAAACCAAGCTAATCTTTTATTTAAACTTACCATTAGAAAGTTCTCTTGTTGAAGCAGTCATTGGTTAGTGCACCTTTGTCTAAGGTTTCTCTTATTTTTGGTTTGTGTAGAACTAGGAATTATAAGTTGACCTAGGAGTGGGAATCTTTTTTTGCCTAATGGATATGTGTCACAACCAATGACCTTAGTAGTGGAACTAATATTAAATTGAACAGAAATGCACGTGATTTGAGAAAGCTTCCCTCAAGCTATTTTGAGTTAAGAGTTCCTTATGATGCCCTGCAAATATTTTTATTCAAGAACGTATGTTTATAACCATGAAATGATATTCTTGATCAGTCAAGTTCCTTTGTTTTCTACCCAGGTATTCTCTTTCAGCATTGTCAGACTCAGACTGGACACAACCATTTTGTTGACTGGATCACAAATCACCCAATTCAACCATTAGATCACTCAAATACAAATTTTCAAAAAAGAAAAATTTTAAAAGATAGAAAATAGATTCATAATATGTTTTAAAGCTATCTCCATCAGCATGAGCTTGTCTTACACCAGTCCCAAGCCCAGATAAAGGAGGGTTTCATCAGGTTGGCAGCCAACACTAAAACTTTTTCCGAACTCTCATGATTGTAGATCCTGATTTGTCTTTCCATGTTCATGCTAGGGCATTCCTTATAAGCAACACGCTATAAACCTTAACCCGAGCAAGTGTTAAGTGGGCAAGGACATGCTAGGGTGGTCCCTAGAAGTCACACCCCACAATAACACTAAGCCATGGTATTAAATAGGCAAGGGTTCCCTCATCCTTTTGGACGAGGGCAGGTAAAAAATAGTCCAAAAAATACAACTTTGTTTAGCCACTTGGAATGTAAGAGCATCAAGAAAGACTATGGAACTAGTAGACACAATGAAGAGGAGAATAATTAGTATTGCATGGTTTTAGGAAACTAAATGAATGGGAAAAAAGCTAAACAAATTGATGGCTACAAGCTATGGTACACTGGAGAAGTGAATAATAGCAATGGAATAGCAATAATAGCATATAAGAATACTGATAAAAAAATAGCATTTGTTAGTATAAAACTACAAACTTAGCAATAGCAAGATTCGAACTTTAGACATTAGGCTTTAACAACTAGAGGTTCACCACTAAGCCACACCCATTTGCTTGTTATAGGTTTATGCATTTTTATTTTTAAATAAATTTTCTCTTTTTCTTAGTGTATTCTTAAAATTTATGTATTAATAAATATAAAGATAAATTATATTGATTGTTTATACATTTTAGTTTTTTTGTTTTTTCACGTTTTAGTTATTCCATCATTTGCGAATAGTTACTAAGTGTGTCCCGATATCTTGAATTTTATATAGACCATTAAATTACAGTTTTTTTACTTTTAAATAACTTATTTACAATCATATAAAACTTGTAACTATCGTTATTAATATATTTTTAGGATTTATTTGAGTTTTTTAGCATATTTATGCGTATCTTGATTTTTCGTCCGTATTTATACATATCCAAAGTGTATCCCAATACGTCTCTTAAAATTATCTAACCGATACACCTTACATTTCCGATACTTTAAACCTTGATCATATTATCTTTTTGAAATAGTGTAATTAGAAAAAAAAAATAAAGAAATTGAAAGTTTGACATATTTGAATATGTTTTATATGCTATATTTGATTTTATTGTTTGTGTTAGAGTTGGCAGAATAAGGGGTAGTTTGGTCATTTTGTCATAAAATTAGAAGTGAGTTGTCTATTTTATCTGTGTTTAAGTTGTGTCTCATACTTAATGAGGGACATAGTTGTCTTTTGTATCCTAATGCATAAGTTATAAATACAAGGTGGGTCAGCTGGTAGATGATTTTTCTCTCCGGCCGAACCCTTTCTTTCTCTCCTCTCTTCTTTCTCTTCTTCTTCTTCTTCTCTCTTTCTTTCTTATTTCTGAACTAGGACTGAACTAGTGTCAATCGACCCACAAACATGGTATCAAAGCACTAGAAATCAGTCCAGAAATCAGCTTGCTTCCTTTCTTTTCTCCTTGGATCGTCATATCAGATTTGGGTTTTTCTGAATTTCTCATCAATCAGTTGGAGGATTGATAAGGAGTGAAAAAGGAGTGATTGTTTTTCCTTCTAGGAGGTAACTATACCTCCAGTTATCATGGTGGTGTTCGTCTTGGTGGTGTACTAGAAACCCTCTACTCAACGACTCAGAGAGGGCTGGTTCGTGAACAGGTGTGAACAGAAGTCTATGGTCAGCTAATTGCATGGTGTTTTCTCTCTCTTTTGGACGGGATTTGAACTATGTAGCAGTGCTGAATGATAGGTATGTGTAGGGACTGTTTTTGGTTCCTACTTATATCTGAATGTGTGTGACAGCAGTAGGATTTTAGTGCTGAACCCTATGACAGTGAGTGTTTCAGCAACAGTTGCTTAATTGTGGTGTGGCGTGTGGTGTAGTGAGGGCTGAATGGTGAAGGGTGATTTCTTTGTAATTATTTTTTTTATAATGGCCACAATCGGAGAGGGCAGTGATAATAAAACGGGTGTAATGATTTCCCCTGGTTACCTAAATATACAAATGACCTCCATCAAATTAAATGATGAGAACTATGTGCCATGGGCTAAGTCGGTGGAAGTGTTTCTAAGAGCCAAGAATAAGGTGAAACATGTGAAGGAGCCAGGAGGAGAAACCCTCATCTGACTCTCAAGGGTATAGCGATTGAGAACAGGAAAATGCACAAATTATGACCTGGTTGCGGAATAGCATGGAACCGAAAATCAGTGTGAACTTTATGTTCTTGGAAACTTAAAGTTTCTAAGAAACTTTATTCTGGCCAAGATAACACCACTAGAGTATACCAACTGTATCAGGAGTACTTTAACTTGAAGCAGGAAAATTAGAGCCTAGAGGAGTATTGTGCTAGTATGAGAAACCTTCATAATGAGCTTAATGTGTATCACCCATTGACTTCCAATGTTAAAATTCAGCAACAACGAGAACAGCTTAATATGACAAGATTTTTGGTGGGATTGAAACCTGAATATGAACTTGTTAGGGCACAAATACTAAGCGGGTCTGTTTTTCCTTCTCTTGAGGAGGTGTTTGCCCGACTCCGAAGGATTTCTATTAAACCTTCAGGACATTCCACTCTCTCGGATATGTCTGTTTTTGTGGTGGCGAGAGGGGGATGTCGTGAAAATAGAGATGGTGGAGGTGGACATGGATTTCCAAGGAACTGAGGCGGTCCTATGTTTAACCATACTGGTGGTCAAGGTGGAGGTAGTGCTTTAAAAGCACAAGGGCCATTTGCGCCTGAGGCACAAGGTGAGGCACGCGCCTTTTTGAAGCAAGGCACAAAAATACAGAAAAAAAAAAAGCTAAAAAATCAAAAAAAAAAGTCAAAAAATTTCAAAAACAACGCCAAATTTTTTTTAAAAATGCAAAAAAAAAATCACAAAAATATTAAACATAATATTAATAAAAATATAAACTTAAATTTTAAAAGAAATGTTTTAAAAAACCTATTATCTAAAAATAAAATACATAAACATAACATGTAAAGCACATTCATTACTTCAAGTACTTAATGTGATGTAAAACATATTGCATTGTTGATTCTGCAAGTCACCTTTGTACCATGCCTCTCGAGGCAAGCCCGAAGAAGTCCATGTTAGGGTCTTAAATTCTTATTTCTCACATAAAAACTAATGCTTTTATAATTTTAATTGCCTTTTAAGAATATATTTTATTGGAATGAATGAATGAACAACATTAGCAAATAGGGGGTTCTCAGAGCCGTTACGCTCAAAACAAAAAAAAAAAGCAAAAAGCGCAGAATTTTAAAAAGGTGCACACTTGGGTTGAGGCACAAGGCACATCAGGCGCACGCCTAGGCGCACCAAGCGTGCGCCTTTTGAAAGGGGTGTGCCTAGGGCCTGGGCAAGGCGGATACCCTAAAATGTGCATCGCTTGTGCGCCTAGGCGCGCCTTTTAAATCACTTGGTTGAGGTCGAGATTCAAGGGGAGGTCATGGTAGAGAACGAAGTAATGGTCCTAGAAGGTGTACATATTGTGGATTAGAAGGACATACTATTATCTTCTGTTATGACTTACACGATCTACCCAATACTTGGGCCAATCATGTTGTGAGTTGTGACTAGTGGTGTTGGCGCAGTTATTGAAAACTAATAGGCTGATCAAACAGCCTCCACATCTACAGGTGCTTCTGGGAGGGAAATGGTGAGTGTCCCGCGTATCTCTTTAGACATGCTCTCAACAAAATATAGCCACTCTTGCGCTCATTCAGGTATGGCTTGCTTGGCATCCAAACCTTCACATTGGATTATTGACAATGGAGCCTCTAATCTCTTTCCCAATCTTCCACATCTCAAACAGTGACACTTGTTAATGGTTCTACTTCTCCCATTTGTGGTTTTCGTAATGTTGACCTCACTTTTTATCTTTATCCTCTATTTTATATGTACCCAAATTTCCTTTTAACCTCATGTATGTTAGTAGATTGACTAAATCTCTTAATTGTTCTATAACCGTTTATCCCTCTTCTTGTGTGTTTCAAGATCACAAGACGGTATTGGTGGAGGGCAAGAAGCAGGTGGATTGTATTACCTTGATGGTGGTGGTCCGAAAGTAGCATTTCATTCTTCTCTTACTCCTCCCCAATGGCACTACAAACTTGGTCATCCGTCACCCAAGGCCCTGAAGTTACTTGTTCCATCATTTCTTCTTTGGATTGTGAGTTGTGTTAGATTAGAAAACACCATAGAGTCTCTTTCAATCCTAAGGTTGATTGTCGTGTTTTGAGTCCTTTTTCAT